CGCCTCTCACTCTGCGCTGGTTCATATTTGATCGCATCATGTCATTGTCCGGTACAATTTATTCGGTCTTTTCGCTTGTTCGAATAATTTCGGTTGCCGAACATTCGGTGCATCCCTAATGAATAATAATATAATTATTATAATAATATTGAAGTAATAAATGTTGCTACTGTAATTACTGCTGGGCGGTTTGACCAAAAATCTGTATCAGGTTTTTTTTTAGGATTGTGGCGGTTTCGTGGTTTATCACGTTTTTTCCCTGACTGTGCTTTATATGAATCAGAATGCATGAAACAGTTGCAGAACCGCTGCATTTTAATCACGTTTCAAAGATGCTGCATGAGCAGTTTTTCATTTAAAGCTGCAGTCCGTAACTTTTGGCGCTCTTGAGGTTAATAAACAGAACTGCGTGCGTCTTGCAGATGAACATTGTAGCCGGAGCTACTTCTCTCTGTTTATGTTTATGACAAATTAGGCAGGTACTGGGCTACTCCGCAGCGGTACCTACCCGAACCAGTCTAAATAGTCCGAATATAAACACTTATTATAGGTGTACCGTAGTGATTCAGGACAAGCCAAAAACACGGTTTGGAAAATGGATTCACGGTTTACTCGCTTATTATATAAATTATGTAAATTTTGAACACAAAGTTACGGACTACAGCTTTAAATTAGACTGTATAATTTCCCATTTTGAAGCAAAAACAGAACGGTCTGACTTTAGCTTTGTGAAACTATACTATATAAAACACATCTGAACGAAACATGGGCTGAATGAGACGCAGATTCACTCTCTGACAGCAGGTGGCGCTGATGGAACAGCAGCGATACAGCTTTCCTTAGTTACCGCTGTAAACAAAGCAGCGCTGCGCTATTAAATACTACATTAATAGGGACTTTAAGCAACAGCCACTGATTGTACGGTAACGATATGCTGACGTTGTATTGCACATGCGCGACTTTAACAGCTGCTTCTTGATGTTCTACTGTAACCGTCTACTATGGGTAAATATGACGTTTTATGCTATATAACATTGTAATTGCATCAGTATGTGATTCTACCATTAGTCTTTTATTTAATCTGTGTTGATATGTTTTAAAATGTAGCTAATTTTAAAGATTTTTCAGTTCGTACGGAGATATGTCTGCTGTTACTAACAACACCTCAGGTAGCACTGAGACTAGCGAACAATGTAAGCATTGCCTAAACATCCTCCTCATAAAACGTCATGATACTTCAATAAATGACTGAATGCCGCGTTGTGTCGTCTTGTTTATGGTTGCTTAGTGATTTTTACGTTCCATTCACAGCTGTTGCTTAAAGCCCCTAATATGCATTATGCAGACACAAGATGAAAAGAAAATACCATCTTAACTTTTCTGAAGACAGTCAGTTCCCCTCAGAGACACTTTAGGGCCTTTCGCACCGCGGGAACCTTTTCATAGTACCAGAACTAATTGTGGAACTACCCACTAAACCCCTCAGCCCCAGTTCAGTATTTAGAATTTTCTTCCTATATTTCGCGCATCATGAACAGTGAGCTTGATCTGCCTGCTACAATATTTTCTCCTCTGTGCGCCCTTCTTTAGCGTCTCTGGCTTCTGTTAACGGCCGTTTACAGTTGGTTTATTTGCCCAGTTTAAAGAATTAGTTGTGTGAATAGTTCTAAAAGTTTTCCAACCATCAGCCAGAAGTGTGCGCAGTTAACAGGGATCTCCTCTCAATTCACGATGCTGTGTACGTTTGCTTGGGCACTTTAAAAATTCATACCGTTTGTGTAATTCAAACCGGTTTACCATTTGAACCGGTATATCGCCCAGCACTAAATTGTATCGTAATTATGCTTTCATGAATATGAAATATGTCAATAAATACTAATAAGTACTGTCACTATAGCCGCTTTACCACCATTGCGCTGAACGGTTCTCTTTGCATAACCGTTCCATTCCGAGCCGGCCGGTACAGTTATGGTTTCGTTTTCCTCTGCGGGGCTGATAACGGATCTCTTTGGAATGCAATTCAAATGCGTCAGCTGTTGCCGTGGTAACACAAGTGTTTACATATGATATGAGGTGTAAATAACCACCGGGTTATGGAGGATGATCAGAAATTTCTTTCGATTTTATTACTACTTTGTGTTTACATTGCTCAAAATAGCGCGCTTAGAAACTAGCAGCCAGGCAACAGACAAGTGACAGATCCTGAGTGGCGACGTCAATCACACGCACTCTACCAGCACGGCTGTCTAACCGGGCCGAGAACAGTTTGTAGTCGTGCCGCGCCGTACCAGGCTCACGTGGAAATACAACTGGAACCGTACGGCCCGATAGTGGAAAAGCTTATAATATTGTTATAATAAATACTATCGTAATGATACTGAAGTAATAAATGTTACCATAATTATGCTCTCTCAAAATACTACTGTAATATAGTAACAAATCTTATTGTAATTATGCTTTCACGAATATTGTGCCAATAAATATTAAATACTTAATACAATAAAATATTAACAAGTACTTAATCATAATAATGTTGTAATAAATACTACAACAAAAATGCTTTTACAAATATTGTGGCAATGAATGCTAATAAATACTCTCATAATAATATATGATAGTACTAGTGCTGTCAAATGATTAATCGCGATTAATCGCATTCAAAATAAAAGTTTTTGTTTACATAATATATGTATGTGTATAATACATAATAATGATATTAAACACTACTAAATATGACCTCTAATAAATATGCTTTCATAAAAATTATTACAATAAATGCTAACAAATACTACTGTAATAATATTACTCTATTAAATAATATTTTGATTGTTTTTACAAATATTGTAGAAATATATGCTCTATAAATACTCCCGTAATAATGTTGTGAAATTAAATACTACTTTAATTATGCTTTCATAAACCTTATTCAAATAAATACTAATAAATACTACTGCAATACTATTGCTCTAATAAATAATACCTTGATTATGCTTTTATAGATAGTGGAAATAAATGTTAATACATGTTTCCATAATAATATAGTGATATAGTAAATGCTATAAAAATTATGTTTCGTGAATATTGCATTATGATTGCACAAATATTACCACTATAACTATTAATGCACTAATACTAATTAAATATTCATGTGTTAAGTATTTGTAATCTGGTAGCAGTTGTTACGATTTTACCGCGGTGTGTTGTCCTGGTCATCAGGGCGTCGGATCGTCAGGCTGTGTTGGATTCAGAGCTGAAGTCTCTCCAGGCGTGTCTCCGTGAGCTCGAATCCTTCCTGAAGTGGCTCCATGAGGCGGAGACTACAGTCAACGTGTTATCTGACGCCGCCCAGAGGGAGGAGCTCTCACAGGACTCCGCCCACATCAAAGAGCTCAAAGGGCAGCTTGGGGTAAGAACTTTAGACTCACGTTTTTACATGTACAACTTATGTTCCATCATATCCATTATAAAACGGATAGTTCCGGTCCTTGATTCTGATTGGTTGAGCCGCGTTCGAAGCTGTTGTAAATTACACTACAAACATACACCTTTGTTTACTTCTGTGTGTTGCTCGGCAACCACTTTGTTGCAACCACAACTGTTTCTGAGGAACTACATTGATTGGTGGAAGAATACTGTTTTTATTATCATTACACTTTATTTGCTCTGTTTTATTCTGTGAAACCTTACTACGTATATGGAATAACCATTTTATAAAAGCAATAAGCCCCGTGAAGCTGTGGTTTACAGTGAATGTATAACAGCTAAGGGGGTTTCCGCTTCGCGTCATACCTAACAACGCCCCTTTAGCTGTTATAAATTCACTTTAAACCACGGCTTCTTGGGGCTTATTGCTTTATTTGGGACTAGAGCCAACTTTGCATCCCAGACATTGTGTAAAGCCAACCAATCAGATCTGAGCTTGTGATTTTCAGCTAGCACTTGCCAGGTTTGTTCTGTTTGTGCAAAATGCGTTAGATAATCGGTGTGTGGACTGAGGGCGGTCCATGGGTGTATTGTCTGAGGTTTAGACAAATAAGGGACATACGGGAACTAAAGTGTGTGTGAACGATATTCAGTTATCCCTGTGTCAGTCCTCATTAGTTCCCCCATCAGCCAGACCACAGCATACGTGTAATCAAGGTATAGATCACGTCAGCTGAGAAAGGGCACGTCTTCCTGTTCTCCTCTCTCCTCCGACATCTTCAGTTCTTTGCGGAGTCTGTTTGTCCTGTGAGATTCATACATCACAGTGTGATCTCTATCTGCTGTCCGCTCTAATCACGACTGTACGCTCTACTACGATTCAGCAGCCTAATGCACTAAATACACTAAAGTACAAGCTGTCAACTTGTACTAAAATGGACTGTCCCGGCTCTAAAATGTGAAGTCGCACAAATTCATTGAATCATCTTTTATTGTGATGTTGCTTGGCAACAAATGGCATTTTTGCAGCTGTGAAGGGCCCTGTGAGGACGTTTGCAGGGTCAGTTGAAGCTAAAGTGAGCAGCTGAATTCTTTCATGAAGGGCCCTTCCTGAAGGCCGTTAGTGAGTGTGCTGACCATTGTCACTTCAGCGTCTGAGTGCAGAGTCCTATCAATTTAAGGCTTTACAGGGTCAAAACTGCTCACACATTTGCATAGTTTTGGTTATTCATTTGTGTGCTTTTGTTTATTTATAGTGGTTAAACGGATCGTAGTTGATCCGTGATTCGTACGGACCAAGCCCCACGGTTCGGCACGCATGTGATCCGCGGATTAATTGCAAAATTTAACCATAATAGAATGAAAGTTTATCAATTGTACGTGTGTGTCCGCGGATTAATTGCAAAATTTAACCATAATAGAATGAAAGTTTATCAATTGTACGTGTTTACACACGCAAGCGATTTTAAACCATTCTAGCGAAAGAAAAGGCGAAATGGAACTCGATTCGTTACTCGCGCGCTGTTTTCTATCACATGAAGCTCGCACACGCAGAGAGGCGCGTTTGACTGCACGCGAACACCGAACTGAACCATCTTTCCTGTCTCATTCACTCCTTGCCTTTGAACAGACGCATACAATTATGACAAAATATCGATCTCGACAATCATTGTGGCAAATGCAGTCTGTTGTGTCTTAAGTGAACGAGAACAGCTGAGAAAGAAATCGGATGTGTGTCATTAAAAAAAGTGAAGTGAAAGTGACATGTGGGCAAGTATGGTGACCCATACTCGGAATTAGTGCTCTGCATTTAACCCATCGTAAGTGCACACACACAGCACACACACCGTGAACACACACCCGGAGCAGTGGGCAGCCATTTATGCTGCAGCGCCCGGGGAGCAGTTGGGGGTTCGGTGCCTTGCTCAAGGGCACCTCAGTCGTGGTATTGAAGGTGGAAGAGAGCGCTGTACATTCACAGCCCCCACCTACAATCCCTGCCGGTACGAGACTCGAACCCACAACCTTTGGGTTACGAGTCCAACTCTCTAACCATTAGGCCACGACTTCCCCCTATATTAGGCTATATTGGATCCATGCATCAGGTCTTAAAGGGGCAGCAGTCTAATAATACCTGCTGCTGTCATTATGCTCATCAAACCACAAAACACGTTTTTGACAAAGATGAACACTATGCAGTTTTATTTTACACTTAATTATTACATGTATGTATCTGAATACTTCCGACCTTATTTGTAACATTGTTCTGTTGTATTTATCTATGCTTGTAATTTGTGTAGCCTATTTGTTCTTATTTTTACTGGCTGTTCGCTTGTCTCTTTAATAATGTTTGAACTTTCTTAGGCTAAGAGTTTTTGCTGTGGTATCGTACTTATGGAAAGCAAAGTTACATAGATTTTTTTTTCTTGCTGATCCGAAAAACGATCCGATCCGTGGCTCAAAAACCGTAATATGATCCAAACCGTGAGATTTGTGATCCGTTGAACCACTAA